TGAACATAAATCTATAAACTGATGCAAAGAATAAAGCAGAGTTGGATTTTCTCTACAGAGGTTTGCTCCTTGACACCTTTCCTTTGAATAGGAGAAGTGGTGAAAGAATAAATATTATAAAAACCATTAAGAATTTTGTGAGTGTAAAGTAGGTTACAAAAGTCTTTCCCTTTCCTCTTTTCTGGACCTAGATGAAAGCTTTTATGTCCTAATAAAGCCAGTTGGGGGAGTAGATGCCATGAAACTATAAGAGTCTGAAAACGGTCCTGGGGCATATGTCTTCTCTGTGTGTATTTTCACACCCAGCACACAGCGATCAAATAGCTTTGGAGTAAATAACATGTATTCAATAAACTAGTGCCTTATCCCTGTTTTTCCAGATTACTTTCTTTGCATTACTAGTTTTATAGGATATCAAAAGGTTTTATGGTTAAAGAGATTGTGGCCAAATAAATTTGAAAATGTTGGGTTAAATGAAATAAGATGAGTGTCTTTACAGCAGAACTGATCAGAGCTTTTGATATGCTCATGTGCTTTGGGAATCTCCAAAGAAGGAACATAGTAAACATGTCCCAGGCTTACACCTGTTGGTGGAACTTTGGTGAGGAACATCTCGCGTGGCTCTGGTGTCCTGTGGAATGCTCTTGGTTGATGCTGCCTAACCCGTTGATAGCTCAGCTTTGATTGTTCCTGCTAGAGTATGCAGAGAATTCTTACCTCCCAGAAGGTGAGGAACGAGAGGGAGGAGAAAGAAGGGGAGCATGCTCTTAAAAGCTGCTTACCTGTTGATCAAGGGCATTTGGTCCAGTCAGTTTTCCACTGTAGCGGCCAGATGCCATTATTTTCTAAGTTCAGACCATTGACAATAGAAGAACAGAGGCCTCTAGATTTCTCCTTCTGATTGTCTTCCACGGAGGGGAGGCAGCTGGTCTTTATGCTCAGCCCACCCATAGGCTGGCATGATCTGAAGCCTGAGGGAGTGCAAACCTCAATGTGGGCTCTCAAGTGCCCGTTTCCCCACAGAGTTCCAGAAGACCAGAGTCTGGCCCTGAGGGAGGGAAAGAAGGCTGTATGGCTCGCTCTGTGTAAAAGGCTGCCTCATCTGAGGTCACCGTAGGAGGTCAATTACAAGAACAAAGGCAAGGTGTTCTGGGATGTGGGCGGAGGGGGGCCCTGCCTTCCAGGGCTGATTTGCCACTTCCCAACTCTGCCCTGGACAGCCCGCTTCACCTCCATGTGCTTCCCATTCCTCACTTGCTAAACAAGGGTGACAATCACCAAATCAGTGGATCATTTAAATGATGCATTAACAGTTGGAAAGCACTCAGCACAGTCTGTGACACACAGTAGGTGCTCCTGGTGGGGAGCTCTTGGAGAGCATGGAGTCGGCATCCGAGTATCTCTGTATATCTGGCACAGTGCCTGGCACAGAGTAGGCACACAGAAATATTTCCTGAATGAACAAAGAGCTCAAATCTGTAGCCTCCTAATACAAGTGAGTATTAGTTACCACAGTTAAAGAGTGTGTGTGTGCACACACGTGTGGATGTAACTGACAGTGAAGACCCCAGGGGGTCCTAATCTTTAGCGATCAAGGTACATGCTGTAGAGAGAACAGCCAAAGAAAATCATATTTTATGCATGG